TCGGAGGACCAAGGAATGGTTTCTAGTCCTCGGTGGGAGTGATGACTTAAGGGTACGAGGGTACAGTGATGCTAGTTTTCAGACGGATCGGGATAACTTCCGATCGCAGTCAGGCTGGGTCTTTACCCTGAATGGAGGAGCAGTGACTTGGAAAAGTTCCAAGCAAGAGACCGTAGCTGATTCAACGTGCGAATCAGAGTATATTGCGGCAAGCGAAGCGTCAAAGGAGGCTATATGGTTGAAGAACTTCATTGGAGACCTTGGAGTTGTGCCATCCATAAAGGAGCCCATGGAAATTTTCTGTGATAATGAAGGAGCGGTTGCCTTAACCAAGGAACCAAGGGATCATGGCAGATCTCGACATATCGACAGGAAATACCATTTTATTAGACATCGGGTAGAAGAGGGACTCCTCGTTGTGAAGAGGGTATCGTCAGAAGATAACCCAGCAGAACCCCTTACGAAGGGACTGAGTAGGGTCAAGCATTTTCAGCACGCTAGGAGCGTAGGGCTGAAGGACGATATTAGTTTAGATTAGATAGGTAGGAAACTTGTAATAGATAATGTCATACTCAACAATTGATGATTAAATAAAAGTGTGTTATTTATAAGAAAGTTTATATCATGTGTTGATTATTTATCTATTTTTCCGATTTTTGCATGTTTTGACTTCCTGAATAATGAGATTATTCGAACAGTCCACAATCACTCATATGTTGGAAGTAGATATGAAGAAAGATTATCATAAATTTGTTTGTAGATTGTCTGAAAAGTTTTAGACATAGCAAAGGTTTGCTGCAAAGTTTATGAGTGCTTATGAAATTAGTATTGAGCATTGGAACAGACCCACACTTGCTGGTATTACTTCATGAATGTCATCACAAGTGATCGCAAGATGATAATATCATATAATCTTTAAACCTAGAGATATGGTTATTGTTTGCTAGTTGATTATACATTGATAATGCGAAAACGCATCAGTAACTTGGTGTCATAAAACGCATTATTGTGTATGGTTTAGCTGGTAAATGATAAAGGCATATTAGTCGACGTTTTTCTGTTCCTTTTATTCTATGAGGATAAAAGCGATATCTCGGCCACTTGATGATTTGGTTTGACTTATGTGCCGGGCCCGGTCAAGATGAAGTTGATGTGTTCAACTGAGTTCTATGTCGAACGAATCAGAGATCAAGAAACAAAATGTTGTACGATAAGTATCATTAGCATGATATCTAGAACAGAGGATTATACGATCCCTTATCTAAAGGACAGATTATTGGTCAGAGTTGACAGCGGCTATTGGAAGCTACGATTGCCATCGGGTACGAAAGTAATACGTGAGATATAGTTACTAGACTTATCCAAGTGGGAGACTATTGGATTAATGTCTAAGTCAGTAACCATATTTGGTATATACTTGTCCCGAGTGTGCATGGTCCTTTTGGGTTGCCTTCACCAAAGCAACTTGACAAGGTAATTTGATATGAGAGAGGAGATATTATGATTTATTAATATATTATAAGAATAATATATTAAAGGAGAAATCATATTTATTTGATTAGTATTAGTCATAAATTAATTAGGAATTAATTTGGTGACTAAAAGAGACAAATTAAATAAAGGGGTATAAACTGTCAATTGTGTGATAGTTGAGTTTTGGGCTAGGAAACCTAATGGACTAAGGGGGAACGAAATTATGATGAAGGATCATCATATTTTCGTCCAAGGCCTCATTCCAGAAGGTTCCTTGGGCTGCTTGGTGGCTAAGCTGTCCATTAGGGTTTTGACTGAAACCCTAGCACCCTATAGTATAAATACATGCCCTATGCTTCAATTTAAGGCCACTTGATTCCAAGGGAACCCTAGGGCCGAAATTAGCTTCATTCCCTCCTCTCTCTTAGTTGCCTTCTTGCTTCAAGGTGTTTGTGAGCCATTAGAGGCACTATAATTGTGGTGCTTGCTTTCAAGAGTTCAAGAGAGTTCAAGAGATCAAGGAAACTAGTTGTTATTGCTATATAACAACAAAGGTATGTTTTTCCACACTTCTATGTAAATTTCGAAAATCATAGAAGCATGTCAGGGTTTATTTTGTGTTCATATAGTTGTATGTCTTATAGTGAAAACATAGATCCAAACTAGAGTTGTATGCACACATAGGATTGTTTGTACAAAACCTAACAAAGTATTCATATCCACTCAGCTCATTATAAAAACTCGGTGATACAAAATAAATGGAAATAAGTAATTCAAATTTAAATGAAAATGCAATTGAAGTGCACCTTTAACACTTTCCATGTTGAATTACGTACATATTATGTTGAATCTTATGTTTATTTTATAACATATATTTTTTTCCAAGTTCAAATTGGGAAAAGATCTATAAAAACAAAATTGTTGTGTCTTATATTTATTTTGCTACATATATTTGTTTTCGAGTTTAAAATGGGAAAAGATTTGTAGCAAAAAAAATTCTATGTAACAATTGTATGTCCTTACAATGTTGAATGCTATTGGAAATTGTCCTATCAAAAAGTTGATTATTAAACTACGAGAAATTAAATATTTTCTTATTTATCTTCTTATCTATTTGACAAGTGTTTGGATGAATTATTAATTTTATTAAATTATTATCATTGTAACTAGATATGTTGCCCATGCTCTACATGGGTCGTGTGCGTCTGATTTGAGTGTCATTTTTTGTTAAAAGATGCAGGTGAGATAATTCGACCCCTAATTTTCACAGACGAAGACGGATAGATAGAAGCAGGAAAAAATAATAAATGTGCGGACCAATAAAAAAGAATATCAAAAGAAGAAAATGACAGACGGAAGAAAGTGTAAGGGACGGGAAAAAACAAAAAAATAATAAAAATATGAGGACAAACCCGGACTTTGCTTGGGACCGTTGTGTTTTTTATGAAAAAATATAAAGTTTAGACTATAATGACCAAAAGTATCAAAATGGCTAAAGAATTAAAGAGGTTGAATTTAGTAAGTTTTTAGAAAAGTGACCAAAGATGTCAATTCCTTAAAGTTTTGTGGCCAAACTTTGAATATTAAAATGTTCCTAAATATTATAAAAAATTTTATTACAAGGACCAAAGGTGTTAAAATGACTAAAGAATAGTAGGCAAAATTGACAAAAAGCATGCATGTTCACTATTCCTAACTTTAAACTTTTTAAATATATATATATATATATATATATATATATATATATATATATATATATATATATATATATATATATATATATATATATATATATGTAACATCCGGATTCCCAGATATATTATTCTAATATTTTGTTTTTGGAATTTGTGAAGGAACTCGGCGAGTTGATGCCTAGACTCGCCAAGTAGGGTCGCGGATTATCATCCGGCTTCGCGTCTGGACTCGGCGAGTCCATTAGTGGACTCGGCGAGTCCACGCTGTTTAATGAAACCCTAATCGCCCGGGGTTGGAGCCTATTTAAGGGCACTCATAGCCTCCCATTGCGGCTACCAGTCCGTTGAGAGAACCCTAAGTGAGCTAAATCGTTTGCGAGGAAGGAGAAGCCATATTTGGTCTTTCTATCTTTTGTTTAGCAAGAAGAAGGTGATCAAGAGCAAGAGGAGACTGAAGGAGGTGTGATTCTAGTGGTTTCAGAGTCCAGAGACTTCAACTTGAGGTAATTATTCGGACCTTCTTCAGTTTTGGTATTGATTCATAGAGTTAGGGTTTTCTAACCTCTTCTGAGGATGTTTATGTGGAGCAATTGGTCCCTTCTCGAGTTTATGCTTTGGATCTGGACTCAAATAGGTCCAGAGACCTTAACCCTTGGAGCTTTATGAATTATCTTGGGATTCATGAGCTTAAAATGTCATTTTTGGGGCTAAAACACCAAATGAAACCATCTAGATGATATATGAGTGTCAAGGTCTGGACTTTACGTGATTATTACGCTTGGGACGGACAGATCTATGGACTAGAGGAACAGATCTGACCTCAGGAGGTCAATGGAGTTTGTGCATGACATGGACTCGCTGACTAAAGGGATTCTTACCTGGGGACTCGTCAAGTAAAGGGAGGGAATCGATGTGTTAAATGGGACTAAAGAGATTAGTGGACACATGTGGACTCGCCGAGTAGCCCAAGTGCACTTGACAAGTCGGGTCAAATATTGATTGTTGACATTGGTTGACTTTTAGGGTTTGGTCAACCATGAGGGCTTTTGAGCCAAAGGAGGGGTAAAATGGTCTTTTACCCTTCTAAGGGTGCCTAGAGAGGGATAAGTCTAGTTCTGAGAGTTATATTTATGAGAGTATTACTTTATGTGTTCAGGCGGAGGCTAGATCGTATTTCTACCAAGTGAGTGATTTACCAGGACATCTGAGGTGAGTCTTCTCACTATACTTTACCTTGAGTGGTAATTAGAGATATGTGACAGAGTTATCATATGCTTTTATGTGATGTGTTGTGCTGCATTATTTCTATGTGGTTTATATCATGTGTATATTAGAGTATATCAGAGTAAGAACCGAAAGGTTCACAGAGTTAGGACCAGAGGGTCCACAGAGTTAGGGCCCACGGGCCCACAAAGTTATAGCCTCGAGTGGCTAGTATGTGTTATGTATGGTATTTTGGGGAACTCACTAAGCTTTATGCTTACAGTGTTATGTGTTTTAGGTACCAGTAATGATCATGGGAAGGCGCCAGTATGATTCGTACACACGCATGGATTTTTTTGTATTTTGATCTTGGGAAATATTTTGTGAAAGGAAGTTAAGATACAATGGGATTTTGTTGATAAGTGTGTTTGGAAAAATGTGTTTAAAAATGTGAAAATTTGTTTTAGATTTTACGGTGTTACAATATATATATATATATATATATATATATATATATATATATATATATATATATATATATATATATATATATATATATATGTATTAATCATTTCACAAGAAGATAAATACTAATTTCAGTAATGTGTGTTTTGTTACTACACCAACACAATGACAGTGTTTAATGCAATTGAAAATTGGAAGGTCAATAAGCTGATTATTAAACTAATTTCTACGATTTGTGTTTAATTACTACACTAATCTCAATAACGTATGTTTTATTACTACACCAACGCAATGACAATGTTTAATGCTATTGGAAATTGGACGGTCAATAAGCTGATTATTAAACTAATTTCTGCGATGTGTGTTTAATTACTACACTAATCCAATTAAGCAATGAGAGTTAACATAAAAGATTGTTCAAATTCTATATTACTAAATTTAATAATTAAATTCTAATACTAAATTAAACTTAATAAAGGACTTAATACAAACACATCAACTTAAGCGTTATTTAAACTAATAACATAAAGGTTTTAACTATTATTTGTGATATAACCTAATGTTATATTAATTCGTAAGATTACAATTAAATATAGCACTATATTTTATGTAGTATATATAACGAGTTGAGGTTTGCCTTCAGGGATTAAGGGTATTTTCATCCCCGTCCTCATCCTCGTTACATTAAAAAGGGTTCGCCGGTTAAATCGTATTCGAGTATCTGATTCTTCCGATGAAAGCCCCGTTGAAGAGCTAATTCAAGAATCATTTCAAGCGCCAGAAGTCCAACCACAAGCACAAGAAAAAAGGAAAAGGGAGGGCTCCATGTCAAGGGTGGACGGGTGATGAAGAGAGGCCACTCGCTCAATCATGGCTAGATGTGTCGGAGGACCCGATCCACGGCGACGATCAAGACTCAAAAACTTTCAAAGAAAATGTTTGGCGTAACTTTTGTAAATGCATGAAAAAGAATACCCGCAACCCCAAATCACTTTACTCTAAGTGGAGGACCACCAATCGAGCCATAATGGAGTTCAACGACATCTATATAAATGCCATCAAAAACCTCCAAAGCGGTGCAACTGAGTTGGATGTCATAGCTAAAGTTTGAAAGATTTGGAAGGAAAAAGTCGGAAAAGCTTTTGCCAATGAGTCATTTTGGGAAGTTGTGAAGGGCAGTCGAAAAAGGCTAGGGTTAAAAACTGCCGACGATTACACAGGGATGTCCAAACGAAGCGAAACTTTCAAGACCACCAACAATCAATCTCCCAATGCGCGTATCGGAGGGATTGACATCAACGAAGATTCTTATAGAGTTCCAACTTGTCCTATGGGAAGAGACAAAGCAAAAAGAAAGTTGAAAGCAGCATAAAGTATATCGACTGAAGAGGAGGAGATAAGGAACTCAATCAAAGGGTTGGATGATAAGCTTGAGGATTTTTTGGAAGTAGAAAAGTTAAAAGAAATGAATTGTGCTAAAAAGGTAAAGAATCGTGCATTGTAACTTTACTTAACACCCATGGGAGATCACCTGTCTGAGGAGAATCATCGGACTGTTAACAACGCAAAGCAAGATCTTGCTAAAGAATGGTGGTCAAGAATCGATACAAAGAATGAGGATAATTCACAGTGTGGTAATCCATAGCGATCTTCGCCGCCATTTGACCGATCATCTTTGGACGATGGACAATCTTGATCTAATATGCCACAGAAGAAGAATTCGAAGGTCAGTCTTCGGAGGAATACTCGTTGCTTTAGTGTGTGTGTTTTTATGAAGTGAGTTTTAGTAATGAAGTCTGTTTTTTATGTATTAAATTGTGTTTTAGGTCTTAATTAGTATTAAATCATCCTTTAAGGTATTGTAATCATTTTTATTTAATATGAAGTGTTTGTCGTTAAAACAATTATGTCATATTAATTAATTCAAAAAATTGTTTGTGTGATATTAAAAAACTATTTTATATAATAATAAATAAAAAATGTTTGTTTATTAAAATAAAGTAATTAAATTAAATTACAAAAAGAAAATAAAAAAAATATATTTTACATAATATTAAATAAAAAATGTTTGTTTATTAAAACAAATTAATTAAATTAAATTAGAAAAAAAATAGAATGTTAAGAGTATTGCCCCTCCCTACCAAATGCTAAGATTAAATGTTAAAGAGAGAATAATAAGGTGACATTTAAAAAGTTGTGCTAGGAGTGTCACAATTCTCTTTAGCCTTATGAGATGTGGGAGGATTTAAGATCATTTGTGCCACCACATGTAACATAACATACATTCATTCCAATTTGATTTGTCAATTTTTGTTTTATCTTTGCTATTGACTTAGAATGACACTTAAGGAGGATGGTGAGATGCCTTATTGGTTATGGTTTGACACTGGGCATGTAGACTCTTCTGGGAGCATAAAACAATGGTAGTGGATTTGGGGCTCCCACTTGGAATACAAATTCTATTATATTTGGTGTTAACTAAACTTATAACGGGACATTTATGACAAAAAATGACATTTTGGATTTTGAATTGTTGAATACAAATTGTTTTATTTCAAACAGTTTTTTTTTTTTTTTACATAAAAATTATTCTAGACAGCAAATCTTGAACACTTGTTCACAAGAATAACAGTTAGACGCTATCATTCAAGGGACTCAAGCTTTCAAACTTATGCATACAAACATAAAAAATTACACTTTCGTAGATGTAGCTATGGAATTAAAGTTAAGAGTTTAGTTTCTTCGAGTGATTAATACTTACGTACGTGTTTACTTTGATCGCCCATATCCGCCGGATAAAAAAAAACAAGATTGTGGGTATATTGAGTGATATGATGAAAAATACGTAGCATTTGATACATCAAAAATTTTATTTAGAGCGCTACTAAGTTGTCTAAGACAATTGAGTAGTTGATTAAGATGACAGAGTGAACCCAATATGCAAAAACCAATAGAAACAAAGTAATTGGTGAATAGACCAAGTTTTAGTGTGAAAAAACCAATAGAAACAAAGTAATTAGTGAATAGACCAAGTTTTAGTGTGAAAAAACCAATAGAAACAAAGTAGTATGGTGAACCAAAAGTCCAAAATATATATCTAAATACAAGAATGGTTAACTCCTACACTATATTATATCATCCATACATGAACTAGTGCAATATTTCAATACACACAAATACATGTATAATAAGTAACTTATTATCCAAATACATATACTTATGTGTATAACTAGTATAATACATCCATACACACCCAAATGCACAAATAATTGGGGTACTACATTGTTTCTAAATCCTAACAAATACATAAATAATTATACCAATACATCACACAAATACATGAATGATAAAATTAATACATTGCTTGCAAATTTAATATCAAATACACCTCTTAAATTGACGACCAAAACAAAATGAAATTTATACACTTTACCAATCAATGGTACAACTTTCGGGTGTGCATCTACACAAAATATTACATGCAAGACTCCTTACTTGGCTGTCAAATTAAAGACTACTCTTTCTTTCAACCGACACGACACTCAAACTCAGCCATAATCAAATTAGTTTATATATTAAAAAAAAAAGATATCTTCTTGTACCATTTCTTTCCCGTTTCTAGATCTTCAGCCATAGAACTTTCTGGATCTTCAGCCAAAGAAGATGGTTGTTGCCCTTCTCTATCTTTGTAACGATCGCAGCCTCGTTTCTTCTTCTTCCTTTTGATCTCAAGCAGCAAAACAGCCTCATCACCATCATTCTTTTTCATACCTTCCTGTCAAAAATCAAACCATAGTTACCTAATTCGCTCAGAAGGCCACGAACTGCGTACCAAATCGTTTCGTACCCAATCGAGTACGAAAGCGTTTCGAACGTGACCTGGATCGCAAAGCGGTACGGTGTCGAGATAGTTCCCAATCGAAATCTGGAACAAGTTTGATTCAGTAATCCAATAGTTCCAAAACACGATTTTGGGTTCAATTTCTGAAATTAGGACGTCAATTTATGATATTGGTATGCCGATTTTTTGGAATGGCAGGAAACTGCCGACTGTTTCCACATTGACTCTTAGACTCTTAATTCTTCTAATTCACTGAACCATCTTACACACTAATGTTCAATTCCTTATTCTGGGTACTATAATTGTGTATATAATACTCAATTTGAAATCATCTTCTAGAATGATTGTTTGTGTATTCTATACCACTGTTCCAATTCTCAATTTCTACAAAGTCTATACGTACCAGACTAGCACTAACATGTATGTATACCTACAAATACATATTGAATTCCATCATCCAAATCTGTTCTACACTTCTACTCTTCTCCTTCTTCATTCTTCTTATTCTACTTTTGTTTTTGTTCTATTTTTATTTCACCGAATTAACTCAAATTTCATGTTTTGGTTTTGGAATTTGGTACACCGTACCATACTAAATTGTATACCGTACCGGATCGTTCCGAAATGAACCTACCCCCCTCCGTACCGGATACGGTTAATATGGCGAACTGCGTTCCCGATCCTCGTTCCCGTACCGAAGCGAACCACGAATTAGGTAACTATGAATAAAACCCAAACTCCCACTGAAGCCCTACCGAATGCCAAAAAAAAAAAAAAAAAAAACAGGGGAGCTGCAAGAACATCCCCAATCCACATACCTGCTACTGATCGGAGCAATACACCTCATCGCACTTCCTCTTTTCCCACTGTCGAAAAACTGCCGCCAAACACCCTCCCGGGGTTGCTGTCGCTCCAATCGAACCAACTCTTGCCTCTCGTACCTCTTCCTCGTATTTCCTACGCAACCAACTATCGGGACTGAAGCAAGCAACCGAGAAGCTGCTTGAGAAGCTCCTCGCTGCACCCACAGAGACCACAGTAGCTTCGAGGCTTTTACCCTTCGGTCTCGTCGAACCTCGGAGAAGGCGACCCTTCTCGCGATCGATCACTGAAACCTCGTGCCACCTGCAAAGCCTTCATGCTTCCCTCCCGTCATCTTCGTTCGTTCTACCTTCTGGCCCACCGATTGTTCCTTCGCACCTGCCGTTCATCCGTGTTCGACTGCTTTCCTTCGTATCTTTCCATTTCCTTTGCCTGATCAAACAAGGAAACGGGGGTTTAAAGCCCTAATTTCATTTAGCTTGTCAAATGACCAAACTAACCTCCTTATTAAATCACGTATTCAAAACCAAGTTTCTAATTTATTATTATTATTATTATTATTATTATTATTATTATTATTATTATTGTTGTTGTTGTTTTATGGTTTTCATGGGCTTTATTATTTTGGTTATTTTGATATTTTTAAAAACTAATCATTAATCATATTAATTCATTGCCCTAATTAGTTGAATGTCTTTATAATAGAATTGAAAGGTACTTGTGTATTATTTTTATACGGTGAATAAAAATGAAAGAAACTACATATTAATGTTCAAAATATATTATACAAAATATTTTATCATAAAATGCATAAAACATGTTACATAGTTCAATGACCGACTTCTAAGCTTATCTTCTTATTTATCTTCTCATTTATTTGACAAGTGTTTGGATGAATTATTAATCTTATCAAATTATTATCATTGAAATCATTTTGCAGGAAGATAAATACTAATTTCAATAATGTGTGTTTTATTACTACACTAACGCAATGACAATCTTTAATGTTATTGGAACTTGAACTATCAATAAGTTGATTATTAAACTAATTTCAGTAATGTGCGTTTAATTACTACACTAATCCAATGAAGCAATGAGAGTTAACATAAAAACAGTACAAACTGTTCAAATTCTATATTACTAAACTTAATAATTACACTAAATTATTTTTTTGGAAAAAACAATCATATATAAAAACCCCGCAAAGCAAGAAGCTGGTCATGGGAAAAATAGGAACAATGAACTATTACAGTTTAGAATGCAGAAAAACTATGAAAGGAAAGGACATGTACTCCACTCATCCCAATTACATATAGTACCTTCACTCTTACATTTAAGCCACCGAAACATCATTGACTTAATCTAAGCAACACCTCTTCTTGGATTGATAAGTTTGCCCTGAAAAATTTTGACATTCCTAAATTTCCATATCCCCCACAATAAACCATAGCAAATAGTCACGAATCTCTTTCTTTTTACCAAAGAGCTACCCCAATTGTTTGCGTAATTAATCAGATCATCGACGCTAGTAAACTGAGAATTATCAACTCCACACCACCTGAAAATCATATCCCTAATACAATGTGCATAGTGATAGGAAATTAGCAGGTGGTAACACACCCTCCTCATGCCTGATATAAGAGCCACACACGGACGAGTGTAGAACAATCCCACGATGAGAAAGAGCCATAGCCATGGGTATCCGCCCTTGAACTGGACGCCACATGAAGCCGATGACTTTAATTGGAACTTCTTTACACCATATGATAGAAGGAGTTGGATGGGGGGGGGGGGATATGATCAATTTTCTTCCTAAGAAGCTCCACCTTGTACTCACCATCTGTCGCAAGAATACACAGCCAATAATCATCACCCCTCATGAGTTTAGTAAAGGCAATGTCACTGTATAGCAGGCCTAACTCTTGTTCCAACCCTCCTGATAAAGGACACAATCTCCATGAAACTTTGTTAGCCGCAATTTTTTGAGCCACTGAACAATTATTGACCGAATCAAGATTGTATAAGTCAGGATATCTGACTTTTAGGATTTTGTCTCCCACCCACACATCTGTTGGTCAACGGTTAACCTGGTAATTAGGAAAAAATAAAACTCGTGCAAGTCATGACCGTTAGAAATTAGATTGTTCCTAGTATTTCTCACTTCCAGTTAATGTTTAGTAGTATAAATGACATAGATTAGAAGTCACAAACAATCAGTCGAAATTTCCCTGTACAACAACTCAATCATTAGGTTACTAGTCTTCATTCAATAAAAGTGAATCATTTGACTGCCTATTTCTAGTTTTACCCCTGTGAGTTTGTTGTTGTTTACTGTTCCATTACTTGATCACCAACATTTGGTATCAGAGCCTCAACAGATCCTGATCATTTTTATTCCCATGTACCCTCGCCTGAGTCTCTAGCTCGATCTCTCTCTTCCGAGCATTTTCCTAAAGCTCGGCAAACGTCCGGTATGAGGAGTTCGATACGAACTCCTGAATATCTCTCCTCAAAATACTCAAATAACGGCTCATTCGTGCCTGCTCAGTAGACACGTGTTCAGGGCAGAACATTGCCCTCTTATGAAACATCCTGGTAATTGCCGTAACAGACTCCGTACCCTTCTTGAGGGTCAAAAACTCTTGTGCCAACCGATCTCGTTCCACAGAGGGAACGTACTCATCACGAAACATGGTGGTGAACCTCTCCTAGGTCACAGCAGCAAGCTCTGCTGGAGAATAGTGTGCTGTCGCGAACTTCCACCAGTCCTTCGCCCCTAGGCGAAGCTGGTTCTGCGCAAACCGAACCCTCAAGTGCTCCGGGCATGAGCAAGTATAGAAACATCCCTTAATTTCAGATACCCATCTCATCGCTACAATCGGATCTTGCATCCCATCAAACTCTGGTGGCTTCATGTTGCTAAACTCCCTAAACAACAACGAGTCACCCCCTTGCGGCCTAGAAGCAGCGACGGCTGCAGTGGCCGCTGCGACAGCAGCCTTAGAAAGAGCGGTATAACACTCATCAAAAGTCTCAATCAGCATGGTCTTAATAGACCCGAACATCTCTGGTATCTCTGCCTTGATGGCTGCAGCCACCTCTTCATGGATGATCCGGCGGATCTCCTCATCACTAGTCTCGCTGCTCTCTGGCATAAGTCGTGTCCTCACCATGATCTACCTCTGAAATACAACATACGATATATTAGAAATTCATTCGAGCATACTCGAACTCGATAACGCATCCCTCCTTGATCTCTAGCATCCCGAAGATTCTTACTTGAATTGTACACCACCCCAGTGTTTTCAGCAGTACGGGCCCAATACTACTGTCCGCAACGTATCAGTGTACACCCCAAGTCCTCCTCTTAGGATCCTAAGTCCCAAGTACTCTATTATGCATAATCCACTCTCTATAGATCTCTCATAGCTCCTCACTGCTACCAACTCACTCTTAAGCATCTCATAGCAGCTCACTTTCCCCTAGGCTAAGGCATCACAAATCAGGCCACCCTAGTCCTAATAGGAATACCTAGCCCATTCTAGTAAGAGAATACATCATATCAATCTCAAAAATATATAACATAAGGGTATTTTGGGAAATCACCATTCGGGCGCAGACTGATCGTACACATGTCTCTGCTCTGTGTTTCTCTAAAAATCTTTTACTTCTTTTAGAAAACTTGGTTCTCTTTTGAAACTATTTTCCAAATCCTCAGTTTGAGTTCAAATACTCCCGAAGGTGTACCCGAATCCCTCAAACCAAGGCTCTGATACCAACTTGTAACACCATAAATTTCCAACACAATTTTTCGCATTTATAAAATAACCTAATTCATTTGTAAATCATAAAAACATCATTGTTTGAAACTCAATTTATAACATGTAACAATCCCAAGATCTCATAGCATAAAAATCCCGTGTGTGTACTGATCAAGTCGGCGCCTTCCCGTGATCCTCACTAGTACCTGAAACACATAACACAAAACATTGTAAGCACAAAGCTTAGCGAGTTCCCCAAAATACCACATATAACACATATTAGCCACTCGAGACTATAACTCTATGGGTCCGTGCACCCAAACTCTGTGAACCCTCAGGTTCTAACTCTGCAAGCATGCACAACATAAATCACATAGAAGAATGCAGTGCAACAACAATATATATAAAACACTGTATCACATAACTCTATTTACCTACTCAAGGTAAAGTATAGTGAGAAGACTCACCTCGCGTATCTCGGTAAATATTTGTCTCAGAATAAATGTGATCTAGCCTCCGCCTAATCACACAAAGTAATACACTCATAAATACAATTGAACCCAATCGTAAAGGTCAACGGTCAACTTTGATCGGACTCAACGAGTGCACTAAGGCAACTCGGCGAGTCTATACGTGTCCACTGACTCCCTTGGATCCTCTCTTGACACGTCAAGTACTTCTCTGACTCGACAAGTTTCACCTGGCATAAATCGCGTGGCCACCACGACTCAACTCGCCGAGTCTCAAGAACAACTCGGCGAGTTCCGGCTTGACTCAATCCCCCCTGACTCTCCCTGACTCACTGAGTCGACCTCTCAACTCGACAAGACCAATCGCTGAGTGGTTACGGGCAAACTTCATGCTACTCGCCGAGTCTGTTCTTCAGACTCGGCGAGTCCATGCCATGCATAAACTCAAACTCACTTTTTAGGTTAGATTTGTTCCATACAATCATAGACCTGGCCTCCCCAAGCATGATAATCACGTAAAGTCCAAACCTTGGTGCTCAAACAACAACTATTTTCTCCTAAATTATGTTTTAGCCCCATATCTCATAACTCTAGGTTAAAACTCCCATGAATCCTCATAAAGCATAAGGAATAAAGCTTCTCTCGACCTTTATGGATCCCATCTCAAGCCTCATCACAAATAGGGACGAAATGGACATCAAATCTAACCAACAAAGGGGTCAAGAAACCCTAAACCCCCATGTTCATCATAACAACAGAAAAGGGATCCAAAATATACCTCCAAAATGATGCTCTAAGCTCCAAAATCGAAGGATGTCCACCTCCCTTTCCTCCTCTTAGCTAGAATCTCCTTTTCCTTGCCAAACAAAGCTTCAAAAGTCAACAATGGCCTCTTCTCTCTCCCAAAATGCTCAAAAGCTCTTTAGGGTTTCTCTCTGGGGTTGGTGGCCACTAATGACGACCATAAGCCCCTTTAAATAGGTCTGAAACCCTGGAAATTAGGGTTTCATTAAATAGCATGGACTCGCCGAGTCTAGACGCGAACCAGCGCACAAAACCGTGATCCTACTCGGCGAGTTTAGACTCCAACTCGCCGAGTCTCCTCACAATCACCCAAAAATAAAAGAATAAAAATAATACCTGGGAATCTGGGGTGTTACACTTACGTAAGGGTTTTGGGCGCAACTTGGACAATTTGGCCATTGGTTGATTAATTGCCCTTTGGGTCTTTCAGATTGTAGTTTGGGTTATAGATTTGGTCAAGGTTAAGTTAAGGGTAAAATGGTCTTTTACCTTAAGTATGAAGTTTTGGTTATGGATTAGATCCTAATTGTTAATTAGGTGTTATTTAGTTATAGATAGTTCGAGGAGCTCCCATTCGGTAGCCAAGGGTGCTTCAGTATGATTCAACAGTGCGAGGTGAGTCTTCTCATGATATCCATGGGTTGAAGGCACCAATGCCGACCCCTTATGTGTTATGTGATATGCTAGTTGTCTCTGTGATGCTTGCATGGAAGACCCCCCCCCCCCCCCCCCCCCGGAGGGGGGGGAGCCCGTGGTATTTGGATATCAGACCATAAGGGGGAGCCCATGGCATTCCAGGTAAAGAACATAGGGGATCCCATGACATATCAGATAAAGACCATGGCGGAGCCCATGGCAACTATTTGTATGTTACATGTTGATTTGTGGTTGTACGTTGTATGGTATTTTGGGGAACTCACTAACCTTTGTGCTTACGGTTTTCAGTTTATGTTACAGGCTCACTGGTTTTCAAATGGAAGGGCTCGGGATGATTGCAAGGCATACACCACATGTTTATGTTTTCTGTGAAATACTCTGAATTGTCCATGCTTTGTTAAAATTAAATTACTTTGGTTTTTATGGGAAGGACGTGTATTAACGATTTATTAATCTAAAAATTAAAAAAAAAATTATATCAAGAATTTTGGGGTGTTACATATGTTGTGGTGATCTGTCAAATTTGTATCCTGGTATACAGGATGTTTCTATCCTATAGTTATATGCTAGATCTTTGTATATATCTTTATATGATAGGATCGTATAGTACTGGTATACTAGTTATCATCTAGTGGAGTGTCGTAGGGGTTGTACTTTATGACATCCCATAATTTAGGTCAAAGACTGTGAAAAGTCAACTTCACAAAACCTCTTGGTAATTTGACGCATTGAGGTTTAGTGCATCTTATGTGAAATAAATGAGTTCATTTCAACTATTATAAGATATCCGATGGTATCTTACCTCCAAATGTGTAAACAGGTAAACGAATCAAACAACTCAAACTGCAACCTTAGTTAGTGCGTCTAAAAAACAGAAATTTCATATTAAGTAGTTGCAAGTAATACAAAATCTCTAGTCTTATAGTACGTGTTTACGTGTTTCCGAAAATATAAGGAACGTCCAAAACGGTGTTCGTATCCAAAAGATACGACCATTTTAAGAATCGAAACCAATATAATACTGATTTTCTTAAAACTGCTAAAATCGTTGTTATTCGTTGAGGAACTTCCAAACTCCAGATGGAAATTTCGAGAACGTTTTTGGACTCAGATCATAGTCTAATATTTAATTTTATACTTGAAATATT